CGCACTCAACATGTATTTCAATGAAGCTTGGCTGGAGGCAGTGTATGTGTGTGTGATCAGATGTCATAAGAGGATATGTTTATCAGTTGCTTTTTGCACGGCAGGTGTCTGCATGTCTGCCGTGCACCCAGGTGTAAGTATAAACTCACGGGATGTGAAACAAATTCACAGGTATGTGGATCTGGTTACAAGACCGTAGTGAACTACCCTTCTGGGTGTCTGCATTTGATACGTAGTTGGATCAAATCTGACGNAATCTGACGTGTTTCCCGAGACAATGGATGTGTCAGAAGACCACAGTATTCTGGGGAGATTTCATTGAATATCTTCACATAACACATTCGGATTTAAAGATGGAACTCGGACTGATCGATTGACGCTTTGATTGACAGTTAGCAACAAGGGTTGATCAAGAAAAATTAGGAAAATGTAAGCCCGCCAACCTCAAACAGTATAGGGTCCCTCAATCAATATTCGAGGCAGTTCGAGTGCTAAGAAGAAGGGCTAACAGAGTGCAGCGTCTACTTGCGTGGGCGTGCACAAAGGGCAGATTCGGGCGCATGAATGACACCCCCATATTTGCTTCTGTTCGTCACGTGGGTCCCCTGATATAAAATACCAAAGTACCAGTTTTACCCACTTACAGTGAGTGCTTTACAAAGTGGAAGGTGGTGTTCTTGATGCATTTGTTCAAACAGCTCTCAAGTTTTGTAAGAGGGCTTCTTGTAATCTGCCAGCTAACGGAATATGGCAAATTCTCTACTGTTTGAACAATCTACTAATGATGTTTAAAACTCGACTCTTTTCAGTCTAACTTCTTCAGTTTAGTATTATCCCACGCAGATTTTAATCAAACACTGTGTCCTTTTGAAAGTTGACTGTGTATATATCTTCGGAGTAAAACAAAATTTATCGTAAGCAACAATCAATTTGTTAACAGAGATAATATTTATTATAATAATCACGCGATCACTATCAGCCAATAAATAATGGTATATGACAGTAAAGAATTACTGCGTAAACTGTACTCTGTAGATCGCACAAACGCTTTGACTCACCAAATTTCCAATTGGATTCGATGACCTTCTACAATAAAGATTTTCTTCGCCAGATCGATCCCTGGGGAGAAAAAGAGAGACATTGTGGGGAACTATAGTTCAGTGCATCAGTGAATACAGCAACAATCAATCATTATGCAAAAATCAAGATGGTGTTTTTTCCTCGTAGTCTGAGGATAACTTGGATGCCTAGCCATAATTCAGATGCTGGTGATGACCAATTCTAGCAGCAAATAGCAACGGTATACTAGGCAGTTGGTATCCGTCAACATTTTCACATATAAATCAATCTTTCCTTAAATTAAAAAAACGTAGGAAATGCTCTGAAAAGTTGCGAGCGCATTGGAATGCAAGAGGTGATCCCTGGTCGAGTGAGCGTTTCGGTGGAACTACCCAAACGCGGCTCTCGGGGTTTGCTGCACAAATTACAGTCGTAGAATTAAAAAAGAATCACTTCATACATACATGCTGTCAGTTGAAAGAAGGTCATGATAAACATATCAAAGCGAAACAAACTCTGGAATTTAGTTCAGAATCTCACATGCTAGGTGTGTGGGTCGTCTATACGTCGTCTATACGAAATATCCCTGCACGGTCGATGAACTGGCTAAGTTGGAGCGTGTACAACGTGCTGCCTTCTAGACTAGTTATTGTACTATACGGGACCAACCACTGGTCTAGTCCCAGTTGTGTATCGGCGCATCAGGGGGATCTGATCTGTTTGAGGAAGATCCTGAGGGGTGATACGGACCTGGAGTTACAGCAGCATTTCCCATTACAGACATATGAACGAACAAGGGAACACCCCCTCACGTTGCGTAAACTTCAGTCGTCCGGTCTTACGTTGATCTACTGACTCTCGCGGAGGTCGACAACACTCTGGAATTTCCTTCCTGTAATTGTGTTGGAAGAAGAAGATCGATGCTACTTTCAAGCGGTTCCTGGATGAGCATCTCAAGGAGCTATGGAAGGATGACCACATGTGATCAGGCCTTCTCCCCAATGGTGGCGGGGCTTACACGGGGACCCTGCCCTCTGTCTTCAATACCTGAGGACCTGAAGACCTAAGAACGGTCAGTGAATTTAAAATGAACCATTTTATACATAAATGTCATCAGTTAAAACCAAATTATATTAAACACCATAGCGAACCAAACTCTGAAATTCAGCCCGGGGTCTCATATATAGAAAAGGAACCTCCATTAGGTGTGTGGACCGTAAATGTGTCTACACGGGCAGCAATTTCATCACCATGGAGCAAAAAGTAAGAATACGGATCATGAAATTTTCATTATGAAAGTAATAAGATGATGAACTGATGATCGCTACTGAAAGATCTAAATTTGGAACAGCTGTCTTTGAATTGACTTGAAAAAGCCCTTGCAAGAGAGTCAGTCGAAACGTCAGCAACCAAAAATTGTTGTTTTTGGTTTTTTTTCGTTGTGACTAATCCAAACAATTATATACAGATCTAATATGTCACAGTTACTTCACATGCACGAGAGCAACTCACCAATGGTAGAGATTGTTGTCGGATTGAAGGTTTCACCCATAAGACAGCGTAAAATTGAGGTCTTGCCCACACCGGAGTTGCCCAGTAGGAGAACTTTAAAACGAGCGTCAAATCGATTCTCACCCGTTCCACCACCGGCTGTCCGAGTACCATTGGATGACGGTTTGGTTCGCATGGGTTTCGAACCCAGATGTTGAGGAGTTGTCGGTTTTTGCGGTATCATTGGGGGCCTTGGTGGCCGGCTGGGTTTTATTTTTCCATTTGCAGTGACTGGAGGGGGACATGAGGCACGATTGGCAGCACCGTCCACAGACGGTGCGCTAAGGAGGCTGAGACCGTCACTCATCCGCTGCTGCTGATTATCCATCCAGGCTAGTTTGGATCGATGAGAGTTCCGAGAGAGGTGTCACGTCAGGAGGAGGAATCAACGAGATATCTGAATTCCAAGATCTTGGACGGAATGTATTTCTTATCCCTTGTGTGGCATGTGTACGACCTGATTGAAACAGACAATGAAGAGAATAAATGAATTGCGAACAAATTGAACACTGGGGCAGCAAAACTGCCCGTGAGGATTATAGTTATGATAGCTCAACTGGTAAGTTTTACCGTATGGACATATCCGTACGCGACTCGGCATTCAAGCTTTCATGTGTGAACGGTAATTTCTATTTCACGTTTGAAATTCGGAATGGTAATCATTAGAGTGCTCATCACCCTCTATTTCTCAAAATCTTTGAGTTTACCGGCGGCAGGTCTAAATTAACTTCACCAGTACACATACCGATTTTTCTCTGAGATGATCAACCAACAAGAATTATAACACCAGCTTGACAAAATTTACTTTGGGGACACTGATGCGCATTCGATTATGGACAAGATAACACAAGTGGATAAAATATTGCATCCATGAGTTGTGCACGCCATAAATAATCCAGCTCAACTGTGCGGTTAATTTTTATCTTTTTGCAACCAGGCCGAGAGTTTGAATCGGAACACACATGTGTTAGTGTTGCGTTCACCTCCAGGAGGAAGCCGTACCGATCAGATGAACTTTAGTCACCATTGAATTCTGTGCGGTAGGACCAGAGTGCATCGACCTACAGGGCGAGTAATCGTCTGTCGGGTGAGTGAACTTTTTGTTTGTTGTATATAGGTAAGCTCAAAATGATTGAAACCGAGATGCCTGACAGGGTGCTTTACCCAAGAACTGCATAGCCTACTTTGTGGGACCTCTGCGAACGGATAGGGTAATTTTAGACCAGGCGCAGTCAAACGCATCCAAGAGGCTCTATCGTTCGATCGATCAATAATAAATTCTTCACTCTGTCCCGAGATTGCGGTCTACTTCGTGCTAGCTAGCACTTCAAACCTTCAAATCAGTGATATTTCAGTGTTATGGTCACTACACAAGCAAAAGACCATCTCGTACTGAAGCATGATTTGTGTCCAGGACAAATGCACTGCATTTCAACACGGTACATTCGGCAGAAAACGTAATATTTATATGGGGGAGAGGTAAGAGGATCATGTCACCGGAGCACGGAAAAGCTAACCTAAAGTTCCTTTTGTTGACTCAGGGGACGTGGAGGGCTTCCATCGGTTAACAGCAATCGTTTCAGCAATCTTGCTATTCGTAACTTGTAGATGAACCGAAACGCCGTGCTTCGGCCAGTAAGGCGTACTCCCTCTCGGGCATACCAGTACATTCATACTGTCCACTCGCAGGTATCAAGCTTAAGTTAAGTCAATAAAGTGCTTTATTACACCGTCTGGTGTAAATTCAACTGCCAAGTGCCCCACGAAAAATGAAGATACGTATGAATACGCTGAGTTCACGGAGTGAACTCTTGGATAGGGAATAAGCCTGGAAAATACAGAACGGTGGCATGAATAGGGGGCAATCAAAGGAACTATGGAATAGTAATAAGCTTGAACATGTTTGTCCATGGAGCGAGTGGAGAGGGTTTAAATATGTACATATATAATTCAGCGTCAGACCGTATTCTGTGAGCCATTTTCTCACGAGCTTTGGTGTTCTGGGAGACAATGTGATGGATTATGTGAGCTTTTGATAAATCACAACCCACGGATAAATATCTGAGTTATCTGGATATCACATATATATATATATATCCATTTGTAATAAAACAGAAAAATAATCACTAGGGATACATAGAACCAGTGCGGTAAAATTCAGGCATGTACAAACTGTTTTATCAGCATACCGCGTGTAGGGTGGAAAATACATTGTTGGTGTGCTCAGACTAAACAAGATAGTGGTCAATAGTAACATCCAAATATCTCACTGATGTTCCCTGATTGTTAGGGTTTATCGTTCGTGAATAGCGGCTGGCACATTTCAATAGAGAATCAGAATATAATTTAACTCTACGAAGAGAAAAGACAAGATCAATACAGGGAAAAGGTATACGCAGAAGATCACTCCTTGAGTTGTGATACATCTCGGTTGGACTGCGGGGAAAACATAATTGTTGGGATATGGTACGCCAAAATGAACGTCATCAGCATATGTTATCAGCAATGAGTCCATGAAAATAGGTATGGAAGCTAAGTAAGTGAGAAAAAAGAAAGGAGACAGAATGACTCCTTCAAGAACCCCGGGATTCGGGAGCCAAGGCTGAGGATATTATGCCACCGTAGAGCGTAAAATGTTTTCAAAAGGGAAGATAGTCATTTATCAGGGTAATAGTCGGTGGAAAGACTCCATGGTTTGCCAGAATAGATAGAAACGGAACTCTGTCAACAGTTCAAAATACATCCCTGTAGTCTAAAAAGCACAATCTTACAACTTTGCTTTTACTATCGAGGGGTGACACAATAAAATGTACTAAGGAAGCTGGACCATCGAGAATAGACCGCTTACAAAAATAGACAAATAGATTAAAATCAGTCATGTTCATCTGTGGGAGCAAGTGGAGTAAAATTGTTTTTTTTTAATATCGTTTGGACGGTTGAATCACAGGCTAAATGATAGGATTCTGCGCAACCCTAATTAGGAAACTCAAATTGGTACAATGCTGGCTATTCTCCAGCAATCCGGTATGGGACCTTGGGAAATGCAACGGTTGACGACGTCGGACAGGATAGGTGGATGGGTACTGGCGTACCCTTTTACCAAAATTGGTTGTAATCCTTGTGGTCCGCCAGGTACGTTGGGGTTTAATGATTGCAGATCGTTACATATTTCTATGGGATCGGTAACCCAAAGAATATTGTACGAAGCTGGGGGAACTCGAGCCCTTGAAGAGACCTTTTAAGGTAAAAAGACTGTTTGTACCTAAAAGTATTTATTGTTTAAGTGTCTGTAAATTTAGACTATCAAGCTTGGATTAGCCCACTCGATTGTTCAGAGGCACCAGGCACTCTTAATGGTCTTGGGTGAGGGTTTCACTCCTTGGGAGGTCGTTAATTCCCCAAGAGGCGAAACGGCTGTCCAATGTTCTTTTTCAATTATCACAAACATTTCCATCGTATTTGTAAAGTTCTTGCTATAATTGCAGTCATCAACGGTTATTCCCAGCTGCTGACTGGCCATTTCTGTAAATTCTCTGTTTTTACATCAATTTTCAAGGTATCTTTGTTTGCAGACCGGAACTGTACATACATAAGCAAACGACCTGATCTGGGTGTATTTATTACATGTTTTTGCTCCACCGCCTGTGTTTCCACTGTCTGTAACTGGGAGAAGGCTCGTGGCGTGCAATCTTTATTGTCGTTATACTCTTGGGGATAAACGTATTGTTCTGACCGTCCTCATATTTCCCTGTGAGTTCGTGCTCTGTGCTCGTCGTGCACGTCGACTGTCAGTGTCCGATTTGTGTTTCTTGTCCATCATCCGGAGTGAGTGCCACTATTATTGTGTTGTGCTGTGCTGCTTCGACTCGTGTTTTCAACACGCACTGCGTGTCTCATACGCATTGCCTCACGGTGAGTTTGTTTTCTTTATTTTGTCTGTCTGTTATTTGTGAGTGAGCGGGAACGACGCAACACAGACATGGGGTCAGCTAGTCTGATGAATCTACCGTTCACATATTTAATATCCACGAACAGAGTGCACTCTCGAATCTCAGAATTTTTCAAGCATCCACCAGGTTATTTTTCGGAAGACTTTGTTTGAAATTTGAGCGTTGAGCATAAACGAAATTCAGTTGGCGAATACCAGTCCTAATTAACTTTAACAGGGTGTGCATCGAATCATAGTCCTTAGAGTTAAACGCACATTCCGTTCTTCGACACAGTCGTCTCACATCGAATGGATATCAGAGAACGAGACAGAAGTTTAGCTAGTCAATTCTTTGAAGACAAAATGTAGATACTTTAGGGTCATGAAAAGCGGAAAAATCTGTCGAAGAAACCCCGTCTATGAGTATCATACAACTTTTATCGTAAAATTGTCATCTTTGAAGTTTATGAGGAGAAGTTTATGGTTAAGGAACCCAAAGTGGGTGGGATCTTATCGGAGTTATCGGGGTGAACTGAAGGAACACATCGCACAGAAACAAGCAAATATCAAATATACTTTCTCGTTGACTGAATTTGAGAGATCTGCGGTGAACAATCCCGAGCATTGGAGCCTATCCGGCGGTGCATCGTTCAACCAGGTACGACGACTGCAAGACCATTTCCGTGGGCAGGCCCCATCTAGAGCCCCTCCTAAAAGTGTGGTGGGGGCCTGGAGATAACGTCACCAGATTATCATCCCAGAGGACGTGTGTTCGAATCCCACCACCACAGCCTGATTTTCCCCATTCGTGTGTTGCATGGCAGCCTCTTGATTAGCTGCTTACTCCTTCCTGACCACGGATTTCACACACCTCACCCAGCTGCCTTGCGCTCAGGCTTCGACTCTGATTGTGAATTCACTCAGATAAAATCTACCGAAGCAAATTGTGGAACATTTTACTTTGTTTCGTACAGAGTCTACGCTCAGCTGTGAGAAATCTGCCTTACATGCATCGGTAACAACATGTCTGTGATTTGCCGCTCCTACCTGGCTGGCCATGGTTACTGTTTACGAATGTGGCACCTTTTCCGGTCATCCGCCAGTTCAAACGAAAATATCTACCGAGTTGATATTATTCAGCGCATGTTTACAGTAGTATGTGATATAACCAGAAAAATAACTTGACATATCATTGTGATGATCAACTAAATCAGCCTGAAAACAGTTCAAATATTATGCTAGTGACTCGAATCCCCAAGCTTCTCAAATGTGTATGCCCACCCGCCCGCCCGCCCCCCCCC